TCTGACTGTTTACTAGAGTAGGTACTGCTCTCATTTGTTTACGTTACGTATTACTTTTGTTCCCCGACAAGTTCCTCTCTGAATTGTTAACCACTAATACTGACTTATTAAAAAACCTTGATTGGAGAAATAGAGTCCAACCTGTACCACGTCCACCGATACGTCAGAAAAGGTAATTACCTCCGCTACCACGGCAGTTGGTTTCCTTTCAATGTTGCCCAGTGCTATCGCAGTGGTTGGTTGGACTGTATGAGGTCTCTTTCCAACAATCTGAAACCTCTGGATGCAACATTAAGGCCAGGGCCTGAGGTTCATCATACGGTTCATCCTCATGCTCTTAAGAGCTCTCGTGATCGTTCTCCGGAGCATCATAATAGTCTGAGTGGTGAGTATCGATTATTTCTTCCGCCTCAGATACCTAAATTGCCTCAGGCTTTTTTTGTGCTTCAAAATTGTCAGTATGATACTCGGGGAAATGAAATTCTACCCACCGAGGACTGCACCTCCCAGTGGAGATTTCGGGAGAACCGAGGAAACCTTTCCAGGCTATTTAGGTAACAGTTGTCAACTGACTAGTCTGAGTTTGCGGTGGCAGAGGGGTTGATAGTAAGGAAGATATCTTACACTCATCAGTCTCTCCATCTTCTTCAAATCGTGTTGGGAGTCATAGGTGTTTTAGTACAGGCGGTGCTGTACTGGAGGGGTACTTGGAGTAAGTCATTCTGATGACTGTTAGGAATATCCAAAGTGCTCTACAAGCACTCGCGATATCTTCAATTAGAAATCAATTCTTGACGAGAAAATCTGCTCCGCTGTATTCATATAACAGGGATCCTCCAGTGTTACAATTATTTCCGCACTCAATCGAATCATTATTATCACTTGTTTTACTGCACTTTCTGAAATGGTACCGGGTTCTTTTATAGCAATTTATTAATTTGGTTCCACTTTGAAATAATAGTAATGCAATGACTACCTGCACCTATTTAACCAAAACATAAAGTTCAGGTCTATTCCGGCGTTTGATTCCTGTAGGACAAACCTTGAGTAGATGTAGTAATATCGGGGTGTGTATGGTTCATTGTATGAGGTGGATTCTCCGAAGATTAAGAATGGTTCATTGTTCAGTTGGGTTTGTTCGATGATAGTAGATTAAGTTGATTGAGCTTGTTAGGTTTCGGCGAACTGTGGGGGGCAAAAATTCCTGTTGTTTGGATTCTCAAAAAGCATATATTCAGGACGACTGATTGCGACATGATGGATATACCGGGCCAGTTGGAGACAGGAGAGACTTGTAAAAGTCTTCTTTTCCTGCCTGCAGGGCTCGGTGGGATGGAGAGGCGTAAGGGGGTTGTGTATGACAGGTTATGAGTATTTTGCTATGGTTACAAAGATTGTTTTCCTTTATTAAACAAGTAATTTGGGAGGGATAAGAGTTCACAATTCAGGGACAATTGTGTCAATAACGTTCCGTACAAATAAATATCCGATGAGATTTTAGTATATCCTGCAGTCTATTGACACACAGCATCGTCTTTGTAAAAATTTTTATTGGTGTTGTTAGGATCGTAAATTGTTAATATTATATATCACAATTTAGTTTGTAAGTATATTTGAAAATTTTCGTTAGGTTTCGGGATTAGCGGCTTTCAGACAAAACTCAAATGTTTCAAAAAAGTTCAGTTTGTGGGTCGGAAAGTATAATCCAGTAAGTTACCGGAAGGAATTCATTTTCTCGAAATTTTGAGCAACCCTAACCAGGAGATATGTAAAACCAGGGTGCAACAATACAGAATATGGAATGTCGGTAATGGATTGTCACTCACATATTGGGTTTCTAGTATTGCAAATATCATGATCCGAGATTGAAATCCAGATTACTGTTAGAAAACACACCGGGCGGTAAGCTGGAGATCAGAATCCGAGTCGTTATAATAAAACACATCGGAGTCGAGGAATGGGATTCGCCCAATCCGGTAACCCAGAGGTCAGAATCCGAAATTCATGTGTTTCATCGAAGCGGAGGATGGGGAAACTCGGCATCGTTAAATTTCGAGCGATGTCATGATCGTGAGTTTGAGACGGTGCGTTCGGTACCATGCAGGCATCGATCGTGGTACCCTACCGGTGAGCGACGGCGCCGAAAGTGCTGCAGGACAGGCCGCCAAGACTCACAGGGAGTTACCCTACCCAACAGCCCCCAACCACCACCTACGCCCCTGCCATCACGACCACCACCCCCGGTACCTACATATTTGACGATGGCGATGGACTCTGGGTGGCCTGTTTAATCCGTAGGCACGGAATGGGGAATTGTGGGGCGACGGTTCCCGGGAACCTCAAAATCCTGTCCGACATTCTACTACTAGATCGGCAACCATCTAGACAGGGCTATTACCTGTGAGGTTGGCTCGTTTGCACGAGAGGACCTTGTCATACCACATCGGTGGCTCAAGGAGCATCAACCAACCATCCATTGGGGAGGCAGCAGTGTTAGCTTCCATAGCAACAACTGTATAGTCAATAGATGCTTCATATCAGTCGAGGATATATACGATCAAGACCCAGAAGAGCTAGTCATCAGGCTGTTGAGGGTGTCACCCAAGAAGCAGATCACGATCGAGCAACACCCCTTTTGGGCAAGAGAATCGGTAAATGAGGCTCTCGTTAGTGCTATACCAGTGGAGTGTCAGGAATATGTCCAAGGAAGAAGCCGATAAACTACCCGACCACTCTGAATGGGCTCATACTATTCCTCTTATGAAAGGAAAGCAGCCTCCATGGGGATTGATCTACGCGCTCTCTCCACCTGAACAGAAGAAACTTCGGGAGTATTTGAACGAAAAGTTACCCTCCGGCAAAGTAATTCCCTCCACTAGCCCAGCAGCGTCACCCATCCTGTTCGTTCCGAAAGCTAATGGCGAGCTTCAATTATATGTCAACTATCGTGCCTTAAATGAAATCACGGTCAAGAACCGCTACCCACTGCTACTCATGACAGAGCTGGCCGACGCAATGAAAGGAGCACTCTACTTCACAAAAATAGACCTGAAAAATGGCTATAACAAAATTAGGATTGCTAAGGGCGAAGAATGGAAAACCGCTTTCCGAACAAAGTACGGCCACTTCGAATGTAGGGTAATGGCTTTCAGCTTGACCAATGCTCCTACGTCGTTTCAGGTCATGGTCAATACCAAATTCAAGAATCTATTAGATCAAGACGTAGTAGTCTACTTGGATGACATCTTGATATATTCAAAGACAAGGGAAAAGCATATGACTCTCTTACGGAATGTTTTGAAGCGACTGCGATGATACCATCTATACGGAAACCTCGAGAAAACGGAGTGCCATCAACAGGAGGTAGAATTCCTGGGATTGATACTATCAGGAAAGGGGAACCACGCATTACCGAAGAAAGTCCAGGCGATCGAGAGATGGTTAGCACCAACCAAAATCAAGGAACTTCAGTGCTTTCTCGGCTTCACCAATGTCCTAAAACGGTTTATCCACAGATACTCTGAGGTTTGCAGACCTATGACCAATCTCCTGAAGAAAGGTGCCATATGGAAATGGGGCAGGGAACAGCAAGATGCATTCGACGAACTCAAGAAGAGATTTACGTCGGCTCCAATACTCAGACACTATGAGGAATACCGCAAAGCAATGGTGGAGACTAATGCGGGTGACTCGGCTGAGGCCGCAGTTCTCTCTCAGGTTTTCGAGGACAGTATTCTACATCTGGTAGCTTACCACTCTCGCAAGTTCAATGAGGCAGAAGTAAACTATGAGATCTATGACAAGGAGATACTCGCAATAGTTTCCGCCCTCCTAACTTGGAGACATTGCTTGGAAGGGACGGATATCCCTATCCAGATACATTCCGATCACCAAAACCTTCAATATTTCACAACGACAAAGAAGTTGTTGGGAAGACAAGCCAGATGGGCCAAGAAGATAGCACCTTTTCGCTTCAAGATCCATTACCGACCAGGCGAAAAAGAACGGCAAGTCAAATGCACTCACGAGGCGTCCGGAGTTCACAATGGAAGGGGTGTAATGTGTGAGCAGCCCGTAAAACAGGTACTCAGTGCAGAGCAGTTTGTCAGAAAATCACAGACCAGCGTAGAAACTGGATCTGAGGTGATTGGCAACCCCGAAGAGGAATGGAATCAATTGCATCAGTGGTACGATATACCAAGCATAGAGCTGCCTCAGCCACTAGAGGGTTGGTATGAACAGAAAAGACGATGGGTTCGGAGGATGGTTCCGGATGAACACCTCCCTGACTCAAACCTTGAGATCTTCGGACCACTGGAGGCTGCTATCATAAAGGTAGAACCTGCCGCTGAATGGAGCCCCGATTCGAATGACCCCACCCACGATTCTCAAGGGGCGGCGATGGTGGTTATTCCGCAGGGTATGGGGGGGCGACAGTAGTAGCTGTCAGGTTAATCAAGCAGGGTGCAGTGGTCTCTGATAAGAGAGAGAAATAGGGTTATATTATTGTATAGAAAGAAGACATTGCGTAAGGAAAGAAGAAGAGAAAGAAAATATGAACAAAGCGAGGGGGGCCCTCTAGTATACCCTAGGAAATCCTGCGATGACCAATCCCGCGTGACTCACACCACACAACCGAACGGAAGCACATAGAATCCCACAGGAACCTCATTACTAATCCGACTCTGCGTAACCTAACGACTCCATCAACCGATACATGAAACAATGGTCAATGGGTAATACTGGGCTATGCGGTCAAGCAGGTCATTGAGGAACATCAAGACTGACCCGTAGCGGGGCATCTAGGAAGGGATAAAACCCTTGAGTTGATCGATAGGAACTACTGGTGGCCAGGAATGTCCATGGATGTAGCCAATTTCTTCAATACTTGCGATGTATGCCAGAGAGCCAAGCAACCTCGGAGATACATGTCACTTCCTCAATCCCTAGAGTTAGCCAACACACCTTGGACTGATATCTCGATGAATTTCGTAGTAGAAATGCCTCAGGAGAAATCAGGATTCCCTAACGTATTGGTAGTCGTGGATCGTTTTGCGAAAATGGGTCACTTCATTCCAATGACAGGAATCAACGCGGAGCAAACCCCTAACACATTTGTCAAAGACATCTGGCGTTTCCACGGACTTTCTAGGAGCATCGTCTCTGACAGAGGAACACAGTTCGTGTTAGCATTTCGGACGGCAATTACGGAAAGATTGGGGATTCGTAGGAGACTCTCGACATTATTCCACCCGCAGACCGATGGCCAAACGGAACGAACCAACCAGCACATGAAAGGTTATATTCGGGAATATACGGCAGGAACAGGCAGGAAATGGAAAGACCTGTTACCCATCTGCGAATATGCCTATAATAATGCGAAGCACACGTCGACGGGACAATCGCCGTTCTACTCCAACTACGGCTTCCACCCCCGAACGGACTGGCCTACGGATTCAGAAATCGCCCGATTATATGTCAATGGGAATAGGTACTTGGACAAGATTCTCACGGCTCATGAGTTAGTGAGAGATACGCTACAGAAGACTTTCGACAGGATGGCGTCAAAGCCAGGGGCAGCAGTACAGCGGTTCTCTATCGGTCAGAAAGTCTTGCTGGACACTCGAAACCTAGGATGATATTCCAAGTAGTCGGATAAATTTATAGGACCGTTCACGGTCTCAGCAGTGGTGGGCAATCGAGCCTATCGTCTTGAACTTCTGCCTGAAATATAATAGGAAGCGGGGCTTACGGCTGCAGGCTATTCTACTTAAGGAAGGAAGTGTTAAGGAAAATGGCTAGTGCTAAGCGATAATTCTGTAGCGTTTAAACTGATGATATTGTAAACCGGATTCCCTTGACTTGATGGTTGATGATACCCTCAAGTCTTCGGAGAATCCTGCCCTATTTATACATGTTGGAACCTATGCCAAGGCCCGCTTCCCAATACTAACTTGATACAACGATAATAGAATAAGATAACGTTCCCGAAGATAACCCAGATAGAAAAGCGCCCCCGCATAGTTCCGTCCTCCATTCTAATTATGACACGTAACCATGAACCTTGCAATTGCCAGTCATCGGGCTGTACCATACTATTATCCTAGACCTACTTCCCTAAGTAGAACAGCCTACAGCCGTAAGCCCCGCTTCCTATTCTATTCCGGGTGAGACACCCAATAGTAAGCGTGCCGTCATAATAGTATAACACTAGTGTGGTAACATCGCGTGCTCCCACACTACCCGATACCTTTCTATGCTTGTCCTTTCGTTACCCGACCGTCCTCGCATCACAACCCGTCACTCGCATTCCTCACTGTTCTAAGCCTCTAGAACAGTGTTCCGTAGTTCCTGTAACACTACTCCCCCTTCCTAGACGTCGCCCTCGACCGTTAAAACCCTTCTATAATAAAAACCCTGTGGGAAAAGTCATAGAGTAGGGAAAGGTATCGAGCTTAGTCCCGCCTGTTCTGTTGTCGCTTATGAGCCCGGTCATTATCGATCGCTGGGCCTCGACTTCGCGTATGGGGTCGTATGTTCGAGGTTGGCTGGAAATTCTCGTCTGCCAATGCCTCCTGTGGCTCGGGTGTTGCCAGTCGCTTTCGTGTATTTTGTTTTCTGGTGGGATCCGGGTCCTCACGATAGGGTCGCAGCAGCATCTCGTGAAAGACGTCGTGAACCTTCCATTCTACCGGAAGTTCGAGACGGTAAGCCCGATTGCCCACCACTGCTGAAACTGTAAATGGCCCTGTGAACTTGTCTGACCACTTGGAGTATCCTCCTAGGTTCCGAGTGTCCAGCAAGACTTTCTGACCGATAGTGAACCGCTGTACTGCCGGTCCTGGCTTTGACGCCATCCTGTCGAAGGTCTTCTGTAGCGTGTCTCTCGCTAACTCATGAGCCGTGATGATCTCATCCAAGTAGTTGTTCCCGTTGGCGTCTAATCGTTCGATCTCTGCATCCGTAGGCCAATCCGTTCGAGGGTGGAAGCCATAATTGCAGTAGAACGGCGATTGCCCCGTCGACGTATGCTTCGCATTGTTGTAGGCGTATTCACAGATAGGTAACAGGTCCTTCCATTTCTTGCCTGTTCCTGCCATATATGCCCGAATATAACCTTCCATGTGTTGGTTGGTCCGCTCTGTTTGGCCGTCGGTTTGGGGGTGGAATGAGGTGGAGAGTCTTCTACGAATCCCCAGTCTGTCCGTAATTGCCGCGCAGAATGCTGACACGAACTGCGTTCCTCTGTCTGAGACGATGCTCCTAGGAAGTCCGTGGAAACGCCAGATGTCTTTGACGAATGCGTTGGCGGTTTGTTCCGCGTTGATTCCCGTCATTGGAATGAAGTGAGCCATCTTCGTAAAACGGTCCACGACTACCAATACGTTGCGGAATCCTGATTTCTCCTTAGGCATTTCTACTACGAAATCCATCGAGATATCAGTCCAAGGTGTGGTGGCTAACTCTAGGGGTTGAGGGAGTGACAAGTGTCTCCGACGTTGCTTGGCTCTCTGGCATACATCGCAAGTCTTGACGAAGTTGGCTACATCCGTGGACATTCCTGGCCACCAGTAGTTCCTATCAATCAACTCGAGGGTTTTATCCCTTCCTAGATGCCCCGCTACGGGTCGATCATGATGTTCCTCAATGACCTGCTTGACCGCGTAGCCCGGTACTACCCATCGACCATCGTGGGTGGGGTCATTCGAATCGGGACTCCATTCAGCGGCAGGCTCTATCTTTACGATAGCGGCCTCCGGCGGTCCGAAGATCTCAAGGTTTGAATCAGGGAGGTGTTCATCCGGAACCATCCTCCGAACCCAGCGTCTTTCCTGTTCATACCAACCCTGTAGTAGCTGAGGCAGCTCTACGCTCGGTATGTTGTACCACTGATCCAACTGATTCCATTTCTCTTCGGAGTTGCCAATCACTTCGGACCCAGTTTCTACGCTGGTCCGTGATTTTCTGACAAACTGTTCTGCGCTGAGTAGCTGTTTTACGGGCTGCTCACGCATTACTCCCCCCTCCATTGCGAACCCCGGACGCCTTGTAAGTGCATCTGGCTTGCCGTTCTTTTCGCCTGGTCGGTAATGGATCTTGAAGCGAAAAGGTGCTATCTTCTCGGCCCATCTGGCTTGTCTTCTCGACAACTTCTTGGTCGTTGTGAAATACTGCAGGTTTTGGTGGTCCGAATGTATCTGGATAGGGATGTCCGTCCCTTCCAGCCAATGTCTCCAAGTTAAGAGGGCAGAAACTATTGCGAGCATCTCCTTGTCGTAGATCTCATAGTTGACCTCTGCCTCGTTGAACTTGCGAGAGTGGTAAGCTACCGAGTATAGGATACCGTCCTCGAACACCTGGGAGAGTACTGCGGCCTCGGCCCAGTCACTCGCATCAGTCTCCACGATGGCTTCGCGGTGTTCGTCATAGTGTCGGAGTATTGGAGCAGACGTAAATCTCCTCTTGAGCTCGTCGAACGCGTCCTGCTGGTCCCTGCCCCATTTCCATACGGAACATTTCATCAGGAGATCGGTCATGGGTCTGCAAACCTCAGAGTATCGGTGGATGAACCGTCTTAGGAAATTGTCGAAACCGAGGAAGCATTGAAGTTCCTTGACCTTGGTTGGGGCTAACCAACCTTCGATCGCCTGGACTTTCGTTGGTGATACTCGGTTCCCTTTTCCTGATAGTATAAATCACAGGAATTCTACCTCCTGTTGATACCATTCCGTTTTCTCGAGGTTTCCGTATAGATGGTGTCGTCGCAGTCGCTCCAAAACTTCTCGTACAAGAGTCGTATGCTCTTCTCTAGTCTTTGAATACATTAAGATGTCATCCAGGTAGACTACTACGCCTTGATCTAGAAGATCCTTGAATATGGTATTGACCATGACCTGAAACGACGCAGGAGCATTGGTCAAGCCGAAAGGCATTACCCTATATTCGAAAAGGCCGTATTTCGTTCGGAAAGCGGTTTTCCATTCTTCGCCCTTAGCAATCCTAATCAGATTATAGCCATTTTTCAGGTCTATCTTCGTGAAGTAGAGTGCTCCTTTCGTTGCGTCGGCCAGCTCATTCATAAGCGGCAGTGGATAGCTGTTCTTGATCGTGATTCCATTCAAGCCGCGAAAGTCGACACATAACCGAAGCTTACCATTTGCTTTCGGAACGAACAGGACGGGTGCCGCTGCTGGACTGGTGGAGGGGACTACTTTGCCGGAGGGCAGATTTTGGTCCAAATATTCCCGGAGTGCCTTGTCTTCAGGTGGGGAGAGCGAATAGATCGGTCCCCACGGAGGCTGCTTTCCTTCCATAAGAGGAATGGTATGATCCCATTCAGAGTGATCAGGTAGTCAAGCGGCTCCTTCCTTGGAGAACACGTCGGCGTATTCCTGAAACTCCACCAGTATAGCACTAACGAGAGCCTCGTTTACCGATGCTCTTGCCCAAAAGGGGTGTTGCTCGATCGTCGTCTGCTTCTTGGGTGACGCCCTCAACAGCCTGATGACCAGCTCTTCTGGGTCTTGATCGTATATGTCTTCGACTGATACGAAGCATCCATGGACTATACAGTTGTTGCTATGGAAGCTGACACTGTTGCGTCCCCAGTGGATGGTTGGTTGATGCTCTTTGAGCAATCGATGTGGTATGACGAGGTCTTCTCCTGCAAACGAGCCAACCTCACAGGTGATAGCCCTGTCTAGATGGTTGCCGATGCGGAGGGAAAGAGGTTGGGTGGTGTGAGTGCCGGAGTTGGGCATAGGGGTACCATCGGCCTGTCTGATGATGAGAGGCTTTGGTCGAGGTTGAGTAGGTATTTTCGCACGGTGGATGCAGTCCCAGGACATGATCCAGTCCTCTGTGCCACTGTCCAAGAGTGCGTTGACTGTTGCGACATGTTTGGTACTAGTTGCGGGGTGATCCCAAGAGATCTCGATCTCGAGGCGGGTTTCTTGTGTGTTGGAAGACATATTTGTATTTGTAGGTCTGATAAAGGGTTTGTATTGGTTTTTTTTTTTTTCTTCGTTGAGCGCGGGGTGAGGGGGTTTATATAGAGAGTTCGAGTGTTTGATGAAGATCATGGCACAACACTTACGCACCAGGCGTTTCGGGGTGTAACCCCATCCTCAGAGTGTGTGTAAAGAGAATTGAATTTCCGCGCGTATAACAAAACAAATATAGAAAATCTCGTGGCCAACCGATAAAAATAACCGTAATACATAAAACCCTTGTTTCCATAACCCAAAATAGAAAGAAACCGTAAGGTAGTATAAAACACCGAAAAATAGAAATACCCAATCAATTTTGATCCTCCAAAGTTGTAATCCTTGCCCTAAATGCCTCATTCTGGGGGCTCAATTTCCGCTTCTTTTCACCCTCCCTTCCGTGGTCCTTTCCTCCGGAAGGATACCGTTTCTTCTTCAGGTCGGTTAACCTGACCTTACTCGTCGCCACGCAATCTTTCGCGAAGTGGTTATCTCTACCACAACGGAAACACTTTCCTTCCTTTTGCCACTTCTCTTTTTCGTCCTTGGTGACACCTAAGTCATCCGAGGCCTTGAGTTGTGTGCTGGTGCGGAGAAAGTTTTCCGAAGTGCGGGGTTGCGCGATTTTCGCCGTTCCGACTTCTCCTCACGAG